CCATGTGATTCTCTCAAATATTTATTCATCATATTTCACCTTTAGTTTTTGTCAGTAGGGTGTTCAGGGGACTCTCTTGGTGGGGGAAAAAAAGCAAATATACTTTACTAAATGTACATATTCTCAGTCCAGTACAAGTTTGCAATATCCCACTCAATGAAAATAATCTCAAAAAAAATTATCAAAACAAACACAAACCTAGTTAACTCTAATTTTAAAAATAGTATTCCAAAAATGACTAGTACCCAAAATGATGAAATTACAAAAAGGTGTGGCTATTCTGGACAAAATAATACAAATTGCTGGCCTAGTAATATAGTAATACAGGAAGCAGTGGAAGCAAATTTGAGTGAGAGGCAGGGGGTGGATGGCAGTGCCTTTGAAGTGAGATTCCAAAGTCAAAGTGACCTTTATAAATTGCAGAAGTGATCAGAAAAAGAGAGAAAGAAACCCCACACACAAAGGAATTCAAAATTACAAGTTTAAATGAAACATCTGGGGAAGGGAAAAATTTGGTTTTTCCCCAAATGTAAGGTAAGCATGACTCTTGCAAATACTATTTTTAAAATATCTAGGAGTACCACAGTTGTCCAAAATAAGAAAATGGCTAAAAGGAATTGTCCGACTGAACAAATATTTATTGTGTGCCTATTAGATGCCAAGGCATCATGCCAGGTACAGGTGTAGGGGTGTGGGCATTAGAATAAACACATAAATGAAAAGACATGATTCCTTCCTCATGTACGCATTAACAATAAGCACTTGAGGATGTTATAAGAGTTTTTGTGTACATAAGCTCATTTGTACATGAGATAGAAGCAGTGTGGACAGTCAATGAGGCACTGGACACCAGAAGACAGAATTCTAGTCTCAACTCTAATTGGCTCTGTGACCATGAACAATGTACATTAGAAAATGAAGTACCAAAACAGTGGCTCTCCTACAAGGTCACCAAACCAATTAATAACAGACCTGGAAAAGAATTCTGGTCTTCTGGCTCCTAGTTCAGTGATCTGTCCAAAATACTATGCATATGGTAGACTGACAAAGAAAGAAAAGAAGACCTTTTGGTTTCAAGTCATTAGCAGAGAAAGGGGGGAAAACAAAAACAGGAAAATCAGGAAAGGGTAGAAGGAAAATTAATAGTTCAGATTTAGGCATTCTGACTGAGACATCAAGAAAGGAAGCATGTGGCCGGGCGCGGTGGCTCAAGCCTGTAATCCCAGCACTTTAGGAGGCCGAGATGGGTGGATCACGAGGTCAGGAGATTGAGATCATCCTGGTGAACACGGTGAAACCCCGTCTCTACTAAAAATACAAAAAACTAGCTGGGCGAGGTGGCGGGCGCCTGTAGTCCCAGCTACTCCGGAGGCTGAGGCAGGAGAATGGCATAACCCCGGGAGGCGGAGCTTGCAGTGAGCTGAGATCTGGACACTGCACTCCAGCCTGGGCGACAGAGCGAGACTACGTCCCAAAAAAAAAAAAAAGAAAGGAAGCATGTAACTATGGACTGTGAACACAATATAAAGAAAATGGTGTCAAATTTCTTATTATATGCTTATTCAAATCATGCCTTGCAGTTTTTTACTTTAAAATCATTGCAGACATATAGATAAAGGGTCAAAAAATGACATATATGAATGACACAAGAAAAAAGAGATAACAGAAGAAAAGAGAAAAGGAGAGGTGGAGAATTTATAATATCATGCAAATATATGAAGCCCTTCCAAAGAGTCAATGCAGACACATTGCACCCAGATAAACAGAAGAAAGACATTATATTCTATAGCTCTTATGTTAGCAATTTTAAAATTCCTTCAGTCAGAAGCATTAAACACTGGAATGACTAAGGTCACATTCATTACGGAAATTTCTTAAATTTAGAAAGACCTCATACACACACCTGAAGGTAAAAAAAAAAAAAAAAAAAAAAAAAAAAATTACTGAATCAGTGGGTTGCAACCAAGTTACTTGTCAAAATCACCTGTAAACCTTGAAAAAATATGGATTCTCAAACTTACCTTATCAGAATCCCTGGGTGCTGAGTCCAAGATTCATCCCAACAGATTTTGATGTAGCCAGGACACAGAGCTTTTTTCTACCACAATGGAAGAGGTAGGGAGGAGGATCACTAGGAATGGCATCACAGAGTGGGAACCAGATCAATGCAAATGTTGTGGGTAAAATAGAATTTCTGTGGGTGTGATATTTTTAAAATGTATTGTAAGGCTGCTCTGAAGCATCCAAGCATATCCCACTGAATTTAAACATTCTTTAAAGGTCCTGAAGTCAGCAACTACAATACCGGTGAACCAAAAGTTGCTCCTCTATGCCATAGAAGCCTACAGGAAAGGCAGTAGGGTGGGAATGGAGCAGAGAGATCCCAAGAAGTTATGGGTAAATATCTTTTAAATCTAAACATTCAGAAAAATAAGAGAGACTAGGAATAATCACTCTCCTCCCCCTACCACCAAACCAAAAAAAGGAATAATAATAATGTAGAAAGAACAAGAAAGTGAAAGGAAAAAGTTTTAGGTTAAAATTCATCTCCATCTGAAAGAAAATTACTCCGATTTTGTTTAAGCAAGAGAAGAATTCAGCTGAGAAATGATCTAGCAGGCAGCAAAATCACGGAGTCACTTCCCATTGCAAAGCAAAAGAAAACAAGGAGCAAGAGGGTGGTCCTGGATAGCTGTTTAGACAATCAGACATAGGGGCTGACATCTCATTGCCTTAGAAACTCCGTGATGTTTAAATTAACAATTGGCCACAAGCCAAACACAGGAACACTCAAAAGTTTAGAAGGGTGTGCTGTAATTGGTACCTTAGCAAAACACAACAATAAATTAAGAGGATTCAAGAAGCCTTCACTGTAGACTCTAAGAAGACTTAAGATTTGTACCAAGAAACAGGCTTCTAAATCTCTTCTATTGCATTAGTTTAGCATCTAAAGAACACCTGTCTAAAAATCAAAACATACAAATCCTATCCTTTGAGTCAACTTGACTAACACTCAACTTGACTACCTAAACGCTAGCTACTGATCACAGCACCTCAGCACAGCAGAGGTGGAGGGCATAGTTTTATGCACCGAGATCCTAGAATGAAAAAAGCCCTATGTGTCAGAGTAATCCTATTTCTGACATCAGTCAGATTATTTAATACTTAATTTTGCAAATCACTTTACAATCATATGTATTATTCTCTACAACTCTCTAAAGCCGGTTATTCCTTTAGTCCTGCTTCACAGGTGAGGAGACTACATATCATGAAGATTAAGTTATTCATCAAAACAAATTAAAGGCAGACCAAGGATTATGACCCTCAGACTGTCTCATTGATTATACTCATCTCTATCCTAAAGCTACACTTAAAGCTTTCACTCAAAGAAACAGGAAAAGCAAAAACACCATCATATGCTCTTTATTAAATGTTTCAGAAACAACAGCTCTGCTTCATCATTACAAAGCCTCCTGGTCCACTTCTGAAATTCTTAGTGACCTAGACGTGTACGAAATTTGAACTTTCCAAGAAGTATCTAGTTGGTGCTGAACAACCTACTACTGTTTTCAGGTGATAAATAACCTTGTTCTCTTTTTAAACATCTGCGATTGACATGTCGACTGCCTGTTAACAATGAACAAAGACCATATTTTTCTGAAGTTCATCATCTTCCTAACCTTTTATCTGAAAAAAGATGTAGTTCACGTACTAGTGTTTTGGTGAAGGTAAAAATCTTTGTTCAGATTAGGCTCAGAAAAAGAAGGGGCTCCTTACCGTTCAACCACAAAACACCATCCCACTGGGAGCATCAATCTCAGAAAGAGTAAAACACAGCCTCGGCCCTGAAAGGACTTTATGAACACCTTTAGAGTGTCATCCGTTTAATATACATTATTTTAATTAATCCTATTAGCTGGATAATTTCATCCCTATTTTATTGGTGAGTTCATACAGCAGAGCTGGATTTGAATCCAGGATTACAAAGCAGGGCTCCAAAGCCCAAGTTACTTCCACTATAGAGTCTGAAGAAATGAAGAATCTAAAAGTGTGGGTGGGATGGGGAAGACACGATTTGATTCCCTTTCCTTGGTCCAACCGTGTTAGAAACATCCAACCATAAAGAAGCTTTCTAAGGAAGCCCTTTGAATTAACGTATCCACTTTTCCTCACCCGCCCGTGCCCCACCCCCAGCCATGCCAAAGGAGCAGCAAATGCTGCTGCCAGGTTGGAGGAATTGGTGATCGTCACACCACATTCCTGCGTCTGGACACAGCCTGAAAGAGCAGCAGAGCTCCGCGCCTCGGAAAGAATAACAGCAGTTGAGATTTTTAAATCATGTGCCTCAGCATGCAGCCACACCAGTTGCCCTACTTCTCCTGCCTCCACCTTTCAAAGACACGAGCAGTACACCCGGCTCCTCCGGACTTTCGGTGGGATCGGAGTGTCAAAACTCAGGCGCGCCGCAAAACCCCGTCCCCATCCAAACCAAGCCCACACACACGGCCCGTGTGCCGCCCCCCGGCAAAGCCGAAGCTGGCTACGAAGGTGCAGGCCGTTTGGCTTGGCGGCCCTGCCCCCCGCTCTCCACGCCAGAATCTGGCATTCCTTCGCTCAGCCCCTCCGAGGCCCGCCGTCGGCTCTTGCTCGACCCCAGGAAACGCGGAACCTGAAGGGCAAAACTGCCCACCTCCCCGCACCCTGACACTAGGAAAAGGGAGTTTCTGAGACTTGCTGCCGGCCTCCCTCCGGCCGAGGAGGCGTGTGAGGGGTCCCGGGCCGCGGGGAGCAGAGGCGGCGGGGAACCCCGGGGGTTGGCAGGGGCGCCACGGGAGGGGCCCCCGGCGATGTCCAAACTTTCGGGAACCCAGCGAGTGGCCTCGCTCTGCGCCGACGGCCGAGCCTGGCCTTCCCACACAGAGGAGGACCGAGGGGGAGAAGGGTCGCCTTAGGTGGCGGCCCCGGGCGCCGCGGACAGCGCCCCTCAGCCCGATACTCACCACGCGCGGGGGCCGCGCGGCACAACCAGAGCGCCAGCAGCGCCCACAGCAGAGCGGGGCGCAGGGCGGGCATCTTCTCGGTCGCCTCCTCCGCCGCCGCCGCCGCCTGGGCAGATCCACATGGGGAGGGGGTCCCAACAGAGGAGCCCCACTCTCTCCTCCCCACCTCCTGCTTCAAAGGCTCAGGCCCTGGCGCTACGCTCCGAAGTCCCGGCGCAAATGCCTCGACTCCCCGCACCCCGAGTCCGCCTCTCCTCCGCCGCCGCCTCAGCCGCCGCCCGAAGTTTGGCTGAAACTTTCTCGGGTGTGCAGCGAAGCAGCCTCGTGTGTCCTTCCGCCTCAGCCGCCTCCTCCCACCGCAAGCCCCGCCCCACTGTCGCCGCGGCCTCGGCCCCGCCGCCTTGGGCACCCAGGGGTTTCCCGCAGGAAGAAGCGCCGGCCCGAGCTCTGCGCGGAGGGATCTACTACGAGTCATCGGTGCCGGCCGCATCCTTCTCCAGCCGCCCCGGGGGCCGCAGCGCCTTCACTCGATCAGGGCTGCAGCGCCTCGCTGGCCGGGCCGGTGCCCAAGGGGCGTTGGGGCGGAGGGGAGTGGGGTAGGGCTCTGAACTTCAAGCACTGGAGTTTGCCGGGATCGTGAACTTGCAGGGAGAGGCGGCCCTCATCCAGTGAGGTCTGTATCGCCCCCTACACCCACACATCCACACACTGCTTTGCTAGCTAGAGGAATGCGCTGGAGTAGGACCAGTGCTGTCAAAGAAGAAAAGGGGGCCAAGGCGCCAAAGTCCATTAAAAAGGAATAGAGCCATCATGGAGTGGTGCTGCCCCATTCATTCATTCATTTGTTCATCCGTGTAGCAAGTATTTCTTAAGTGCCTTACTTTGCGTAGCTGTGTGTTTGGCAGTGGAATGATACCAAAGATGCACAAGCAACTTTGAGGACCAAGACTTTGCCGCTGTGGGCTGGGGGATTCAGGGAAGGCTTTCACATAGGAGCTGGGATGAAAGCAGGATCTTGAAAGGTCAGTAAAATTTGTGTAAGACGAGACCAGCTAAGCTAAGGATATTCATTGTAACACTGTAATAGCAAAACCTTGAAAACAACATAAATATCCACCCTCAGAGGAATGGATGAATGATGTGTGGTACATTTATAAAATGAAATGCAACACACTAACTGAAAAGACTATATTTATGCCAATAGGGGTAAAGCTTAAAAACTAGATGATAGTGACAAAACTAATCGCAGAGGGAGACAAAGTATACCATTTATGCATATTGTTTTCAAAACAATACTACACATTATCTGTGGATGCATGTATATAGATATAGATATTAAGAGACTATAACCAGAATAGTAGTTACTTGCAGGGCAGGAGAGTAGGGGGTGTGATCAAGCCTGGGTACAAATGGGCTACTAAGAAAAGAGCTAAAAGTAAGAACAACAGCAATAGTTGTATGGACATATCATTCCAGGAAAGAGCCCTCATGAAAGCAAAGGTACAGTCAAAAGAGTAAGTAAACGAGTTCTGGCTCTGTTAGCAGTGAGAGGAGTCAAGGAGGGAAAGGGGATTGGAACCAAATTATGCAGCCTTGAATGGCAAGCTGAAAGGGTGGGGAGGCAGCTACCTCTTAGGTCACAGAAAACTATTGAAAGTTTTTAAACAGAGTTGAGACTGATGGAAAGGAAGATTGCTCTGATAATCCTGTACAAAATTGATTGTTGGGAGCAAGAGGTGAACTGGAGCCCCAGGACCAGTCAAGAGTTAGTGAAACAGTCCAGGCACAAATTTAAGAAGACCTGAACTAATGAGGTAGATTTCAGAAGGAATGGATCTGAGACAATGTTAAAGAAAAAGAAAAAAAAAAGTGGGGATGTGACTAATTGGATGTGGGAGTTTACAATCCTGTTGGGATGGGAAATCCTACCCTGACTCCTATAGGGTAAAATTCAAACTTCTAAAAATGGTACATACAAGGCCTTTTCGTCATTGGGCCCCATCTCCTGTCCTCCCTGCCCCTGTTGTGAACTTCACACAATAACAGTATTGACTAACTTGAGATTCCCCCAAACATATCTTGCTGTTGCTGTCCCAGTACCTTCTGTTCCTTTGGCTTGGAATGACTCCTGTAGTCCCCTTCCCTCCTCCTTGTAATGAACTTCGAATCATAATTCATCCTTCAGTCCAAAGAAGGCTTTGCCGACATCGCAATAAATTCCTACCCCTAACAGACAGTCCCTCCACTGTCTTCCACTGCCACTTCTTTATCTTACACCGATATTTATTTTTCACACAGGACACTTTGTATTTCTGTGTTCTCAACTACATTTTGAGGTCCTCATGGGCAAGGACCACAGCCTATTCATCCCCAGTGTCTATCACATAATAGATGTTGAACTAGAATGTAAAACAACACTAAGCAAGTGCAAATCAGTATGGGCATAGACCTATGAAGTTCCAAAACTGTATGTTAGCAGGCACTTATGGTAAGCAAGTACTGTTAGTGAAAGTGGTCACATTGGAATACTAGAAACTCTTTTCAAAAATAGCGTAGTCAAAACATTTTTGGAATTTCTGTTGTGCAAATATGTTCAGAGAAAGATAACACTATTTTTCAGTTGTTTACCCACAGTGTTACCAGTTTCATCTTCCTCTTTACTCACTAAAGATAATTCATAGTGACTTGGCTGCATACAAATTTTAAAAATCACTTGCAAAGATAAGTTTTGTCACTATTAAAATATATTCAGAAGAATATAAGATAGTTATCCCCAAAGAGCAACTCTAGAAGTGACTGTAGCTATGACAACATTATTAAAATAAATGTGCAGGCCAGGTGTGGTGGCTCATGTCGTAATCCCAGCACTTTGGCAGGCAGATACCTGAGGTCAGGAGTTCGAGACCAGCGTGGCCAACATGGTGAAACCCCATCTCTACTAAAAATACAAAAAAATGAGCCGGGCATGGTGGTGGGCACCTGTAATCCCAACTACTCGGGAGACTGAGGCAGGAGAATTGCTTGAACCCAGGAGGCAGAGGTTGCAGTGAGCCAAGATCGTGCCACTGTACTCCAGCCTGGGCAACAAGAGCGAAACTCTGTCTCAAAAAAAAAAAAAATAGGTATGCAGTTTCTCAAAGTAACCGTTTTAAAGAAAGCAGCTATTATGTTCACATATAACTTTTGTTAAATGTGTTACAATATGAAACTTACTGCATACATTCTGGTAAGGACAAGAGAAGTAAAGAGTAAATAGTATGAATGGAAGTAAGGGAAAAATATGACTGAAGACATGTTTTAAAGATAAGTTTTAATGATAGAAAAATATGAATAAGGGCTACCAATTGTTTTAGTTTTAATCAAAACTAAAAATGTACATCTATATCTTTACTAATTTAAACTTACATAAAACTACCTTCCAAAACAAATGCAGAATTGGGCACTTATTTGTTCTCATGTCTGTCCTCTCAGAGCCAATAAGCTGTAAAAAACTCGCACAGGCAGGGGCTCTGTCTTATTTTCTGTTTCGCCCCAGTTTCTATCACGTAAGTGCTCAATAATATACGTTTTACATAAATGCTGAATGAGGAACATATATATCTATATAAACTGGGGAGCTATGCAAGACTGGAAGAATGTCTTACTGTGTTGGAGAAGTTGAAGAAGAGATTCTGGGGTAGCTATGATGCACAGATTGAGCTACACCACGAATCTCTCCATGTAACCCAGGAACCCAAGGATATGTGATGAGATGTTTGTGGAAGCAGGAATTAAAAGGAAGATTTCTTTTAATAATGCCTTGCAGTTGTGCAGTGATTTAGACGTTCCAGAAACACTTTTAAGTATATTATCTCATTTGATCCTCAAAACAATCGTGGGAAATAGGCACCCCAGTCATTATTATCCCCATTTCGCAGATGAAGAAACTGAGATAGAGCTTTAAGTATCTTGCCCAAGGTTAAATAAGTAATTAGTGAGCTGAGACAAACCCCCCACTATTTCTGTCCTCTTACTCAGTCTCACTCCACCGCCCCTTTGTGCAACAGTGTGAAGCACATCCAAGATGATATTTAGCATGGGGACCTCTGCATAGAGGGACACCAGCTTCCTGTCACTTCCATGTTAGTACAGAACAAGCTGACCCACTGTAACTGGGAAACATAAACAAGTGAATACATTCTTTTAATTTAAAATATTTTTCAGAGCCTGTTCTCTACAAAGCACATACTAGGCTCTGCTGCAATGCAGAAATAAATAAAACCCAGCCCCTGTTCTTTGGAGATCACAGAGCATTGAGGGAAGCCAACATACAAATAACATAACTAAAACAGAGATAAAGCACAGGGATATGGGAAAGTAGAGTGCATGGGATTAATTTTGAGTCCACTTTCATCTCATCCAGGCCCTAGCCTGAAAGATATGAACTGTGGTGGCCTACACAGCTGGACTGTAAACCATGTGACGAGAGTCATTTCTTACCCCTTATTGATGTTTGTAAACTCCACAGTAGTTGGTTCTTTGCCTTGCATAGAGTATGTGCTCAATAAAGACCTACTTTCTGAAAGGTTCACAAAGTTCAGCCAAACACAGGACAAGTTCTAGAAGGCAAGAAGTTAACCTCAGGATTCAAACTAGCTCTGAGAATTAAGAACCAGCCAGACCCTTCCACTGATCCTACACCCTCTGCTCTAATTAAGGGAATCAGTAATATAAGTAATTGTGATATGGGCGATATAGTTTGCCTGTGTCCCCACCCAATATCTTATTTTGAATTATAATCTCCATGTGTCAAGGGAGAGACCAGGTGGAGGTAATTGAATCATGGGGGCGGTTTCTCCCATGCTGTTCTCCTGATAATGAGTGAGTTCATGAGATCTGATGGTTTTATGTATTTGGTAGTTCCTCCTGCATTCATTTTCCTCCATGCCGCCTTGTGAAGAAGGTACCTTGCCTCCCCTTTGCCTTCTGCCATGGTTGTAAGTTTCCTGAGGCCTTCCCAGTCATGCTAAACTGTGAGTCAGTTAACCTGTTTTCTTTATAAATTGCCCACTCTTGGGCAGTTCTTTACAGCACTGTGAAGACACATTAATACAATGGGCTTCTTGACCTAGTTTTGCCCTTTTATGAAAGTGATTATCTCAATTTGATTGATGTTAAGGAAGGACACAGTGGCTCATGCCTGTAATCCCAACACTTTGGAAGTCCGAGGCAGAAGGATTGCTCGAGCCCAGGAGTTTAAGACCAGCCTGGGCAACAAAGTGAGACCCTGTCTCTACAAAAAATCCAAAAACTAACTGGGCATGGTGATGCATGTCTCTAGTCCCAACTACTCGGGAGGCTGACTGATCCCAGGAGGTTGAGGCTACAGCGAACCATGTTACCACTACTGTGTTTCAGCTTGGGGGACAGAGCAGGACCCTGTCAAAAAAACTTACCTAGAAATTTCACATCTTCTGCTATGCATGAGATAAGCAGGAAAATTCATATAGGAATGCCCACTGTATCACTACCTTAAAATCTTCTTTTAATTCTTTTAAGCATTTTATGCTAGGAGGTATTACACTTCAACTCCTAAGTAGGTGTGCACTTTTCGCGTATGATGTATGAAAGGGTTGACCTGTATGCACCAAGATGTCTCCCCAATTTTACAGTATCATAAATTCACAACTGTGTAATTATCAAACCACAATATTATTGGATGAGTCTCAGTGCTTTAGTCACTAAAATGGTTATGCAATTTTGGATATTTATTCACGTTGTTCTCAGGGACTGTTGAATTGTTTTTACTCACATTCTTATATTCTTCCTTCATGATTAGCCAAGACATTTTTGACAGCAAGATTCAGGCACACAGAAAGTTTCTACCTTAAAATATGGAAAATCTTCATACCATCTAGGTGCAGATTATATCTAAGTCCCCCGAAGAAGAAGAAGGAAACTTTTCTTATTAAGTGGAATTCAAAATGGTTAACTAAGTATGAGAGTAGGGGCATCAAAAGTAAGGAAGAGAAATCCCATTACAAGAAGTAGTGTGCACAGGCCAGGCACAATGACTCACACTTGTAATCCCAGCATTTTGGGAGGCCAAGACGGGAGGATCGCTTGAGCCCAGGAGTTCAAGACCAGCCTGGGCAACATGTTGAAACCCTGACTCTACAAAAAAATACAAAAATTAGCTGGGCATGGTGGTGCACACCTATGGTCCCAGCTACTTAGGAGGCTGAGGTGGATGAATCACCTG